TTGAGACCTATTACTATTAGGTTGTAAGTATATTTTTAAAACAGCCATCTTTCCAAACGGGAACTAACGAATACCTCTATTTGAATCATCAAACATGTAACTAATATTTTTAGCTCAAATAAGCTTCTTTTGATTGGTCGGCGTCGACTGTAAGCCTTCCTTGCGGTGGCTTTCACAACGCGTCCCCATTCTCCAACTCCTGCTGCTAGAAAGAGAGACTCCCAAGTTATATACCATAATTATATTATATATAGATATCGACAACAGACTCCGAAAGTCTTGAAGTTCTGTTACCACCGCCCCTGGTGCAACCCCTTACGGGTTAACGATGAGGAGACAGGGACTTCCAGGGACGGTAGCTCAAATAAGCATGCACCTCTTAAATATATGACACATGACCTGGGTCCTGGCTATTGTTATGTTTCTATGCGTTTTTACTGGACGTAAGCTACTTTACAAACTTCACATCGTTTCTTATAGTTATTCGCATCAAGTGTATTTAGGTATACATGTTGGATGATTCAAATAGAGGTATTCGTTAATTCCCGTTTGGAAAGACAGACCGCTGCCAGTGTCTCTCTCTTTCCCAAACCAATTTGAATGACCGTTCTCAAATGCAAATAATGATACCGAGAATGAAATCGGTCGCTCGTTTTTCCAATTCATTCTTAACGGGTGATACTCGTAGTCGTAAAATATTTATTCCAAATATTTAGTCCAACTCGGCGCGCGTCCTGGTAGGTTTTGCATTTGAGAACGGTCATTCAAATTGACATCATTTCCTTTTGTTTGGGAAAGAGAGACACTGGCAGCGGTCCACTCTACCCAATCTATGGTTATGGGTTTTGGTAAAATATCATCTCTTTTTGATTATAATGTCAGGGTACTTTACAAAGTCGAAATGTAAACTCATAACATTTTACCTTTGAAAACATTTCCTTGTGTTTAGGTAAGCATATCTGTCGATCACTGATTGAATATGCCACTTCATACCCATTCAAGGTGGCATTAAATTCAAATACAATGCCATTTAACTGTCGTGGGAAAGCAAAATTTGTTCGAAATCACGAAAAATTATTGACCCCACTTAAGGAATTGTGCGAGAAGATGAACAAGGGCAAAGATGAGGAAATAAAATATATAATGTGTTAGGCATAAGGTTAGTTTATAGGAGTTAATTTGTTAAGTGACATTGAATCATATGAGATTGTTAAGACAATCTATAAGTATACTAATAATCCCAAAATGTCTGTGTAGGTCTCGGCCGAAGGCACGGGTTATTATACTAGTCAATCTATATTACCTTATGGGACCTTATTTGAACGGACATTAATTGAACGCTGCATGGAGGTCCTAGCGTTCATCTTAATGTCCGTTCAATTAAAGTCCGTCCGTTCAAGGTCCGTCCAAGTTAAAGTCCGTTGAGATTTTTTCCAAAATTATTCCACTACGAACTCATTGATATATGTTTAGGATATGTCATATGACAACTTTTTAATTTCAGTCGATTGTAATTCATATCATCGGATTCGGATCAATGAAAAACAAGTTATTATACAATTTAAATATGATCACTTTCTTGATCTTTGGCTTCTTCGTTCAATTCTTCGGAGTCATTATTTATCTCCACATCTTGTAAAAGTTTACACTAAAATGCAGGACCGAGGTGGTCAAATAAAAATTGTTTCAAAAAGCAGGTATTGTTGATATGATGCTATTGCTTTAGGTTTAAGCTGTAAGCATGAAATATTCAATGCACGATAACCCATTTGAGGAAGATGATCTGTGATATGATCATCAAATCTGGTCATAATCATATTTCGTATCAGTTGTTTTTACTCAACTTTCATAATCATAGACACTGATCTACACTTACAGATATTTTGAAATTTTTACTGCTTAATCATTAACGACTGCCTTTCTTGCTTATTGTATGAAATTTAAAAATTAATTTAGAAATTAAAAATTCTGCTAATATTTTAAAACGCACAAAAAAAATATGAGCAAATTCGGATTTTTGATGGTTTTGAATGCCTTCGGGCGTTCATTTTAATGTCCGTTCATAATTATGTCCGTTCATTTAAATACAAAATTTAATGTCCGGTCAAATAAGGTCTGATAAGGTATATAAACTTTATTATTATAACAAACGTTAGTGAACTCAATACGGACAACAGCTCATGAGGCTGAGGGTAAAGGAAATATTTCTACGAACATACTCAGGAGTGTCTGCATTATAGTTATACTCGACGATGAGCCCTCGGTCCCAACAAAAAATAATCTTTAGAAGTGGAACATCGAGTTCCGTTCTGGCGAGGTCTTGCGAGCGGGGAGAAACTTTCGAGATCGTCTCATCGTCGCGATTATTTAGGCCAAAAATTTCGGCACCGCGACATGCCAAACTAGGCGAAATCGCGGCGAAGGGCTGATCTAAAAGCAAGCACTGCTCAGTATTTATAGTTAATCTAACTAGACTAACGAGCCGCGATTTTCGAGATTTTGGCCGCGATTTCGCCTAGTTTGGCATGTCGCGGTGCCGCAATTTTTGGCCTAAATAATTGCGATTTTGTTTTGTCCTTGCTCCACATAAATATTTCTTATTCCTGTCATCTTTGACATCGAATTAGAATGTTTTAAACTAAAAATAAACCTGCCGAACGACTTCTTATGAGCCTTAATGACTGAAAAACAGTAAAGGGGGTATAACTGTAATAGTATATCATGTATAAAAAGCACGGTCATGTTTGCCAGCACTGTGATATATTAAGACGCGATGAAACTACCGGACCACGATGTATAAGGACTTGCCACCCCATACCATGGCAATATTAGAATATATCGACTCTGTTAGCATCTATTAATTAGATTTAGAGTGGCTGGGTTTTTTTGGCACATCTACCGATTTTATCCCAGTAGATTGGAAATGAAAGATACACTTTTTTCCGCCATGATGATAATTTGTTTTTTGCGAATGTATACCATTAACCTATTGGAAATTACAGTTAAAATTATGTCCTTATGCACCATTTCAACGTGACGTCACGGCATTGGAAAGTTTGTAGCGATTAAAATGCAACGAAAAATTCGGTTGATGAGCCAAAAAAACCCAAGCCTCCCTAAAAATGATATACTGTCTTAATTTTAACTTGATCTGACTCGGGAATGCCATGCCCATATACGTTGTAGGCCCGCCGCGCACGAATGCGCAGCTGTATCGTGGCTTTCGCCCCGACACTAACTGAAACAACACTGCACAATGCATGGGGTCACACGATGAGATACAAACTTGGGTAGTACAGCAGCAAGCCTACAGTTAGATATGGTTTGATTCACGATGTCAATCCTTCGCAGCTCGGCATGGCCCAGTGGCCCAGTGGTGCATCTCGCCGATCTACGGTAATCGCACTATAAGTATATAGTGACTGCAACACTATATAATGACAAGCACTTTATATAATAATGACAGCTTTGACATACGATGCATGCCACTTTTCGCGCGCGAAGCGCGCGCCGCCGATACGTAACATGTATCAATGACAGCTGATATTTGTCACTATCAACTATATAGCGTGCAAAACGCACTTTATAATGACAGCACCATATAGTGACATGTCATTATAAAGTGCTTGTCATTATATAGTGTTGTCACTATTTGTATCACGTGGTGACCCCCACGGTCGCTTCACTGTAGCGTCTTCGACGCTACAGGGGGAGCCGCGCACTTCGTGCGCGGCGGGTCATACAACGTATGACAAGTCACTATATAGTGCGGGAATCAAAAAAGATCTTGTTCAGTGTTTACTGGATGGCGCTCCGCCAGTCCCCCACTAAACCTGGGGTTCCCAGTTAATAAGGGGTCGTTCACATATACCTTACAAGACATATTTATAACGTACGAAATGTGGCGGTTTTCCGAAAATTTCGCCATATTTTCGGATCGCCAAAATTTCGGTCGTCGTAATAGAATCCGTCGCATTATCTTTTAGCTTATTTCAATGACTGTGCCTTCACTGCTTTATTTTGTTTCTAAAAAGTAATATCAAGTAAAATAAATAAATAAATTCTGGCATCTTGGGACAAATTATCACCACACCAATGACGAATTGAATGTCAAGCAATACAGTTTAAATTTGCATTAAAATACATGTATGTGCTAACATGAAAGTCTTAATTTCTTGTGTTTGCACGAATATCTCAAGTTCGGCGTCTTAATACAGACTAAGTTTGAACATGATTTTACCGAATTTCAGAAATTTCCTTACTGCTTACTGTCACAAAAAATGATGAAAAATACCCTTATTTTCTGTGACGTCCGAAATTTGACGGTTTTTGTTCAATTTCGCCATATTTTCGGACCGCCAAAATTTCGGTCGTCGCAAATTAGGCCGCCATAAATATGTCTTGTAAGGTATTACGTAATCAGCAGAGGGGGGAGGGGGTTTCCAAATGATTACGCGATTACGCAAGTGTAATTTTGAAACAATAGCTATGTGTAATACTGATTGCGGAGGGGGGGGGGGGGGGGTTAAAAATTGATTACGTAATATGTGAACAACCCCATACAGTGTGCATCTTGAAATCCGATTTGATATCACAATGATAAAGTCAGGAAACTTATGTACTCCGGGCCGATGGTTGATGGTTTTACTTCAGATGCATTACGTCTTCAGTCTTACTACAATATTTAAACTTTAAAACAATTTCTTTTGTTGGCTCATGCGATAATACAATACAAATGCTTCTACTCTTTTTTGAATTTTGTAACATGCTGATCGATGGCCAGAGAAAGGGAAACTGGATGGAACTGGAACTGCTCTGTGGCGAAGATGCTTTTTAACGGTTAATCAACAACCACGTGACTGTTGATTTCCAAGGCAATGCAAGCAAGCTAGTGAGAACGTAATCGAGTGAAGCATGTGATATGAAGTAGACGTAGCACCACGTGGTAACTGTATATGTCACGTGGTCAGTGGACTCAAATAAGAATTCTTGCTAGAGTAACCACAGTTCAGCTTTTGTGTTTTAAAGTTTGGAGTTGAGATTTAGCTTTTGTTGTGTGCGTTGAACGATATAGCTCCTAATCTGTAGAGAAATACTTGTTGGGAACATGATTCGATTACTCTTGAAAGTGGTAAGAATTAATACTGACCATATCTCAATCTCAATCTGGTCGGTCTATTTCATGGTCTAAAAACCAGCCCCCACAAATCTACTGTCTGGAGTTAGGACCCGCTTGAAATATGATTGTTTTAACCCTCTTTGATAAGAGAGCAACTTAACCAAATATTTCAGTTGGTTTTATACACAGTGCTTCTATCCGTCTGTGGAGAAGGTGAATGGAATCCCATCGACAAGGGTCAAGACGTGGACTTTAACTTCGAAGAATATTCTCTACAAGTTGAAACAGAAGGCTTTGGTTTGTTGGCAATGAGTTGGTTGGACGGAAGGGATCCCGCGTACCCGGTTGGGTCCATCTACTTCAGTTTTGCAAATGCATTCAGTGTGCAGTACCAGATTGCGTATTGCACGGTAGGAGAACCTACGTTTACTCTAGCTGATTCCATTTCTAGTGAGAAGAGAACTTGGACTTTCACCCGAGACAAGGGGGGTTTGAATGTCGCCAGTAACGGAAAGGACGTACTCTATTTGGAGTTTGAGAAGGATTGTGCTGAAGGATGGCAATATTATTGGGGCTTAACCCCTGCTGTCCTAAAGTTTGAGTCCTTGGACTCGGCAACCGATCGATACCGAGCATTGGAAATTGCTGGCTCCGCAACCGAGCCAGGTCAGTTTGTGAAGTGTGAATAAATTTTAACAATTTTATCCTTGATTTTTCTTAATTGTGAATTTTTCCTAAGCAGCGGAAAGTTTTGAAAGTTTGATGATATTTATTCATGCTATCAAATAGAGAAAATTATCGAATTTAGACGGTCGTGTCGAAATTTGTCTCTAACCACAGTTTAAAAAAATTATTCCACATAAATTTCAGAAGGAGAAGGTAATGAAGGAGAAGACAAGGGCGATAAAGAAGACGGTGACGATGATAAAGAAGAAGGCGAAGATGATAATGGTGGAGATGACACTGAAGAAAACGGTGAATATTTAAAAAATTAAATGTAACCAAATTTGATAATTATCGAAATATCGCTGAACAGCAATATACATTTATATCTATTAGCAGGGCCTGCATAGAAATTTAAATATTATTTAGAATTGGGATGAAGGATACCTCGTGTTTTTAGGACGTTAGTCCAATCTGAAATGTATCGACTAAATACGAAAACCTTCAGAGGTCCGCTTCCACATCCGAGGTCCAAAGCCCCAGTATTCAGTTATTGGAGAAGGTAGCTCTATTACTTGTTCGGTAGCTGCTCCCGATTCCGTAGAGGATGAAACTTTCATGATGACCATTAACGGCGACGAATGGAATGGGGAAGCGCTTGATGAACGTTGGGCTGGAGCCGGTTTCGTTTTCTCTACCTTTGATCACGAAAATGGAACGATTGAAACTACTATCGCGGGGTATTTGGACAATTTCATAGAGTCGGATAACATGACAGAAATCAGATGTTATTCGAAGAAGTACGACGGGGAAATATCCATGACCATTGAACTACGAGACAATCATGGTAAATGTCAGGGAGAATAGAACAAATTTCTTTTTAAATCATTCTTTAAAAAATCTTTCTTCAATCTTTTTTATTCATTACTTTCCCTTATATTTATATTTCACACTTTGATTATCTATACCTCAACGTATTCATTATTCCTAAGTAAATTTGAAATTGACAATTCGTATTTCGTCGCACTTGTTACTGTTGTGCATTGTTAAAGTCTAACCGCTCTATCTGTTTCAGAGGGCTGTCACTTCCCTGACTTTAACCACAGTTTTAAAACATTATTCCAAATAAATTTCAGAAGGAGAAGGTAATGAAGGAGAAGACAAGGGCGATAAAGAAGACGGTGACGATGATAAAGAAGAAGGAGAAGATGATAATGGTGGAGATGACACTAAAGAAAACGGTGAATATTTAAAAAATTAAATGTAACCAAATTTGATAATCGCTTAAAAAAATATCGCTCAACACCAATATTAATTTATATCTATAAGCAGGGCCTGCATGGAAATTTAATTATAATATAGAATTGGGATGAAGGATACCTCGTGTTTTTAGGACGTTAGTCCAATCTGAAATCTATCAACTAAATACGAAAACCTTCAGCTATTCCTGAATAAATTTAGAATTGACAATTGAAAATTATCTCAAGCATTTCGCATTTTCGCTTGTATGTATTTGTATTTCGTCGCACTTGTTGCTGTTGTGCATTGTTAAAGTCTAACCGCTCTATCTGTTTCAGACAGCTGTCACTTCCCTGACTTTATCCCCGGAGGATTCAAGATCTGGGAACATGAATCAGTATCGGGCTACCAATGTTACCATCCCTTCGTCATGACTCCAAACATGGACATGATGATGGGATACATGTCTGAGGATGAGAACGCAAATGTTTCTCAGGCGTACATGGATTTGTATAATCTGGCATTTTGTAACAATATGACCATGGGTGCGATTTACTTCCCAGAATGCAGGGATCTTCACGAGGTCCCGCATTGTGGGTTACCCAACTATATTGAGCATGGAAAAGCTGTCGAGTTCATGTTCAAAGAAGACTATAGTGAAGATGATAAAGATGACGAAGATCATGAAGGCAAAGGAGAACCCGGAGATGACGAAGGCAAAGAAAAACCCGAAGGTGACGAAGATGGCGAAGGCAAAGAAAAACCCGAAGGTGACGAAGATGGCGAAGGCGAAGATAAACCCGAAGGTGAAGAAGATGGCGAAGGCGAAGATAAACCCGAAGGTGAAGAAGATGGCGAAGGCGAAGATAAACCCGAAGGTGACGAAGATGGCGAAGGCAAAGAAAAACCCGAAGGTGACGAAGATGACCAAGGGAAAGAAAATCGTAAACGAAGAAATGTAGATGAAAAGGATGATGAAAATGAGGGAAGCAAAGGAGAACCTGTAGACGAAACTGCAAATGAGGAAAGCAATGAGGAAGAGAAAGATGATGAAAGCGATGATAAAAACGATGATGAAAACGATGATGAAAACGATGATGAAAAAGATGATGAAAAAGATGATGAAAAAGATGATGAAAAAGATGATGAAAAAGATGATGAAAGTAATGAAGATCACGAAGACAAGGAAGACACTGACAGTGATTGGGATATGATGGCTAAAATGCTTCCCACTATGGCGAAATATGAATGTGAAGAAGGGTACATAATGCAGAGAACTACTAGGAAAGAAGATATGGGTAACATGGGGTGGTGCCGTACAGACGGATCATACGAAATCCCTTATTGCGTATCCATGAACAACTACACGGGGCTAAATTTCACACTTGACAACGGTAGCGACAAGAAGTTTGCTGATAAAAGTGGAAGACCGTTAGCAGGAATTGTATCAGTTATGTCAGTTGATGCATATGGTAATTCCTTGTCCAGCAATACCTGGCAGTTGGTGTGTAATGACGGATCTAATGACTTCGCTGCCGGCGCTATCTGTAGATCCCTTGGGTTTAACCATGGTGAACGCATGCAACCGACCAAGAAAATGTCCAAGCCAAGTAACAACGACAAGGACTCAAGTAACAACGACAAGGACTCAAGTAACAGCGACAAGGAGTCAAGTGAAGGCGGAAACGAGTCAGGTGAGGGTGAAGAGAAACCAGTTGAAGACGGAAAGATAAACTGGGGCTGGACAAACTTTTCTTGTGATTACGATGATACTCTACCTCTAAGGTAAATAATTACACCTAATTACGCTTATATTTGCTAGGGAAATGTCTTAAGGACTGTGCTGTTATCAAGAACGCATTATTCATATTTTTCTCAGCCGTCATGATCAAATGCAATCGTAGACAAATTGATATGACCGGTTACATGAAATGTCACAACCTAATCGTATGATAATAACAAATAAGTCGGAACAGCACTAGTATTAATTCAAACAAGCAGTAATACATCGTTAACGCATTATTTAAGCTATTTTTTAGTTATTTTAAATATGTCTGCTGTATTATTCTGATCCCATGACTGTTATTCTGATCCCATAACCCTTCAGTTCAAGCTGCAGAGCGACCCGATATGAGGACGCAAAAGAAATGATGGGAGTAACAGCCACTTGCTTCGATTTTGATAAGATGGCGATCAGATGTTTCGAAAATTACTTTGACGTCAAAGTGAATGTCAGAGCTAAAGGAAAAAAAATGTTCTGTGATGTAAAGGTCCGTATGTTTGTTTCATAAAACATTACTTATTTTATATCTTCATTCTAGAGATAGGGCAAAATACCCCTAATTAATCTATAAAATTATCGAAATACTTGACATCTTTGTCATTCATTTTGAAATTAGCAATGTTGCGGCGATTGAAATTAAATTGCCAATCTCTAATACTACATAGTATATTGATATAATATGAATATATACATGTATTACTATTGATATTATAAATTTAATATAACCAACGTTGACATATCTATTACATAAAACCACTTCAGGCGTCCAAAGGAAGCAACAGGGTCGGTCTGGAGGAATTCAGCGTGAAGTTCCTGTTAGATGGCGAGTATTTGGAAATAGAACAGGAAAGCATCAGGCGTAATAAAAATCGGGGATTCGCAACACCGTATGATTTGAAATCTGCTGATTACAGCTGTGTTAGCTGTGAGCTGTATATGGATGAAGCGTTTGTGGGTGAAAGTGAGAGATGTAAAAAGGAGAACTAAAAGAATGGAAAAGATGATGGACAACATATTTTTAAATGTTTATATTAGATGAAGTTTAAAGTTAACATACTTTGATTTGATCGGACGCGTTTATTTTTAACAAAGCTTGGCCTTGAGAGCTAGACAGAGACTGCAGCTGCTTTTTAGAACATAGAATGGCCATGGCGAAACATTGTGTGTATTTTATGTGCCTGTTTCATGCTTAGAGGTAAACCCAATTTTTAGTAAACCAATTTGAATTTTAAATTCGTATATTATCATATTTTGTGCAAACAACAACAAACAATTTAATCTTACTATATTAATATATAATGCGAGACGATATATATGGATATATGGATGGATCCGTACCATTTTACTGTCCCCACGGCATCAAATTTAACGCGACTTTCCGCAAAAACCGTAAAAGATATACGACTGAAACTTTTTTGAGTGGGTCAAATGCTTTAATCACCGCTGCACGCAGTGTTGTGACCGCTCTTCGTCGTATTTTACACATATTTGGACGTTGGCAATTTATTCCATCGATAATTTTAAAGTTTTAACATTTTTATATTAAATTCTTTTTTAATTTAGTTCTAAAACGATTAAGCTTGCTTTCTGTGAAAATTTAATGTACTTTCGTAAAATAATTTTGATGTGGCAGCGATTTGAAAAGGAAATTAGTTAAAAATAATACAAAAAAATCGGACATTTTTTGATATTTAAACATGAATAACTTGGGCTGTGTTGACAGTAGAAAAATTTATTAACCTCTATCCGACAGCTTTAAAATTTTTCTACGCGCCGCGCAAATCCACGCGCGCATTTAAGCGTGTCAAAATCGTTTAAAACTAGAATTAGTTGATGAAGGAGCATAATGCAGATCATACGTTGTACGTGTGGCTTGAACATTATGATTTCGCGCCATTTCTTGTTTCTGCACTCGCTTTGAACTTTTATGGCTTTAACAGCAGTTATCGACTGACGACTTTGCTGTATTACATAGTGTACTTGGTACATAATTGATCAACGATAATAGGAGGAACCCCTGCAAGCTTTAAAGGGCTCGTGTTACTTTAACATCACTTTCGAATTTCACGAAAGCAGATAAAAGGTAGGTTTTCGTTGAATCAAAGTAAGCTAATATCAATTAGAACGAGTATAATTGTGTTACTTTAATACATCGCTTGGTACTGTATTTTATAGTTAACTAACGACATTCTCGCTTTAGGTTATTTTATATAAAACACTTTTATCATTGTTGATTGTGACTTGTCCAATCATTGCACTAGTTTATTACAAAGATTATCAAAATCTTGCGGTAAAATTATTATACTAGGAGGTGCACGATAAAAATAAACTTGCTCGGATTTTAAAAATTTTTGTGCCAGTGTTTTCTAGAGACTGTGAGAATTTTCACAATACCAAATTTGTCATACCTTTTTGGAAAGATCAGTGAATTTCGCCTTAGTGCCATATTTGATGGTGCGCGGATTTTGGAGCAAAAGTAGCTGTAAAAGTCGCGTAATTTGACCAAATTCGTCCAAATTTGACCATTTTTGTCGTATTATTCGGATTTATCTTCAGTTCCTTAAATGAGATCATTCTGAAAATTGGCGATGACCTTCCAATAGGGCTTTTACAACTGTCCGAAAAATTTGGTGGATATCGGAGTTGATATAGTGATCAAAATGGGGCAAAATACGCTGCTTTTAGCTGTAACATAATGTCTGTTAATTGGATATGCTTTAAATTTTTCGGACACTTTCCTTGTAAGTCTATGAGTAAGCTCACCAATTTTTGTTGCAATTAGAGGTCGGGAAGGATACTCAATATTTATTTGTTTGAAGAAAATTGTGCTGGCCGAAATTAGCGCTAAAAAACCATCCTACAGTCGGCACGCGCGGCTCACTGTCGATGGCGCACTACCTAATTATACAAGCACCCATAAATGACAAAAGTCATTTAATTTCAACATTCCTCATTGCTTTTGTGATTTCCTGCAGCTCTTACTACTGGGCAGCTCTTACTACTGGGCAGGTCGCCCCGTGGTGGTTCATGGAGGCGTCTCAAAAAAAACTGACTGAACTATAATCTAAATATGATAAGTGCTTATTAACCTCTCTGCTTTCATTCAAACCTTTTATAGAATCTACATATGAACTTACAATGTTTTGCAGTTTTAGTGACGTTGCAGAAACTCCGGAATACTGTGGATTGGGAGGAGGAGAAAGTGATAATTCTGTTATATGGCCTGTTTCTAGGACACGATAAACTTCCTAATAAGGTATTTTTTTCAGGATACGATAAACTTCTTAATAAGGTATGATCTGTAGCTAGGACACGATTAACTTCCTAATACAGTATGTGTAGATGATAACCTCCCTTCCTCTTCTAGATCAGATGGCTAAGTTACGGTGCAAAGACGGGTAGCTTGAGACTACCCGTTGTTACCTATAATCTAACTCACTCTTTCCACATACGCGGCTAACCTGTTCCCGATCAATATTCAGGTAGTGGAGAACTTAGAGTTAGATTATTTATTCCGCTTTTTGATTTTCCCCAGTCTTCATGCTAGATTCCCGTTCATTTTAGAGCCTCATTTAATCAGTCGGCCTTACTAAAGAACCTCTCACCCTCTTAAGAACACGTAACTTGAAGTCTGATCAACTACATAGCTTTCGCTACAGCACTAACACGTGCATTTACAGAGGAGCAAAAGTTTGCGGAGGCATCTTAGAACGGTACATATTTTAATATATCATGCACGGGTGCCATTCTGTTTGTTTGGTTCACAGCTATTTCCTACTCCTAGACTCCGTGTTCGGACTTTTGATTTCTGTACCAGTTTATCGTTAACTTAGAGTTAGATTATTATTCCGCGTTTTGATTTTCCCCACTCTCCATGCTATTATTGCTAGATTCCTGTTCATTTCAGAGCCTCATTTAATCAGTCGGCCTTACTAAAGAACCTCTCACCCTAATAAGAACACGTAACTTGAAGTCTGATCAACTACATAGCTTTCGCTACAGCACTAACACGTGCATTTACAGAGGAGCAAAAGTTTGCGGAGGCATCCTAGAACGGTACATATTTTAATATATCATGCACAGGTGCCATTCTGTTTGTTTGGTTCACAGCTATTTCCTACTCCTAGACTCCTTGTTCGGACTTTTGATTTCTGTACCAGTTTATCGTTAACTTAGAGTTAGATTATTATTCCGCGTTTTGATTTTCCCCACTCTCCATGCTATTATTGCTAGATTCCTGTTCATTTCAGAGCCTCATTTAATCAGTCGGCCTTACTAAAGAACCTCTCACCCTAATAAGAACACGTAACTTGAAGTCTGATCAACTACATAGCTTTCGCTACAGCACTAACACGTGCATTTACAGAGGAGCAAAAGTTTGCGGAGGCATCCTAGAACGGTACATATTTTAATATATCATGCACGGGTGCCATTCTGTTTGTTTGGTTCACAGCTATTTCCTACTCCTAGACTCCTTGTTCGGACTTTTGATTTCTGTACCAGTTTATCGTTAACTTATAGAGTTAGATTATTTATTCCGCTTTTTGATTTTCCCCACTCTTCATGCTATTATTGCTAGATTCCCGTTCATTTTAGAGCCTCATTTAATCAGTCGGCCTTACTAAAGAACCTCTCACCCTAATAAGAACACGTAACTTGAAGTCTGATCGACTACATAGCTTTCGCTACAGCACTAACACGTGCATTTACAGAGGAGCAAAAGTTTGCGGAGGCATCCTAGAACGGTACATATTTTAATATATCATGCACATTGCACGGGTGCCATTCTGTTTGTTTGGTTCACAGCTATTTCCTACTCCTAGACTCCGTGTTCGGACTTTTGATTTCTGTACCAGTTTATCGTTAACTTAGAGTTAGATTATTATTCCGCGTTTTGATTTTCCCCACTCTCCATGCTATTATTGCTAGATTCCTGTTCATTTCAGAGCCTCATTTAATCAGTCGGCCTTACTAAAGAACCTCTCACCCTCTTAAGAACACGTAACTTTAAGTCTGATCAACTACATAGCTTTCGCATACCGTTTCGTATCACGTATTTATCATCTCTCCTTCTTCAGAGACTGGCTTTATTTCAACATACCGTATCGTATCACGTTTTTATCGTCTCTCCTTCTTCAGAGACAGGCTTTATTTCAACATACCGTATCGTATCACGTTTTTATCGTCTCTCCTTCTTCAGAGACAGGCTTTCTTTCAGCATGGTTACCCAGAGACTTGATGGTATCAGAGTTCTCGATGTTCTGAGTAATGAATTTAGTTTTTCCCTTCATTCATTCTAAGTCCCACTGTGGCAGCAACCCTTTCTATCTCTTGCATCAGCGTCTCTGTCTCCTTTTCAGTATCTGCTATCAGAGCAATGTCATCCACAAAACCAGTGACCGATATCTTCTCCACCTTGACTCTCCTACTCCTATAAGGCTTAATGGTAAATCCTATTTCAGGGTGCTTGCTTAAGGCTTGTCTCATGCAATAGTCTAGGGCTATTATAATGAACAGGTACGGTATGGTGCTAACATCTGCAAGATCTTAAGGAGAGAGTGGCGTGACACACCCTCTGTAATCAATAAAATTTTGCGAAACTTTCAGAAATACTAAGTTTGACCCAGATTTAAAGGTCGCTAGACTGAATGTAATATTTCAGTTAACAACTCTACCTCGATTCGATGCAGTGCACAGTGGGAAAGGTTGAAGTTGACGTTCAAGCAGTCACCCTGCCGAACAAGAAATCTTTCAGGCCAAGAGGCTAGGTGACTAGAAACTCAATCACTATATCCGTGAAACTTGTCGGGAGCACTGTTATGTGAGTTATTTTACCTTCTAAATTCCAATGAGCATGAAAATTACCCAGGTACATGGAATGCACGAAAATGAACAAAAATTAATATTCTCCTAAAACTAAAAGTGCTCAGAACGGTTTAAAACTGGCCGGAAAGCGTTTAGATTGGTCCTAGGACCACTCAAACCAAGT